GCTTGACCTCTAACCCCACCTACCTTTCACTCTCCACTCTCAACGCCCCTCCCAGCCCCTGGGCGTCCCGGCATCAAAGGACCCTTCCCGAGACCTCCCGGGAACCGCAAGGAACCGCAAAGGAGTCGTAGCACTAAGAGTGGGATCCACTAGAAGAAACGCTGGGTATGTCAAGGTAGACTGAATCTCTCTGCTGAAGTGTTTCCTGCTGAGGCGCTTAACTATGCCGATGGTTCCCTGCTGAAGTGTTGCAAAATGCCCGTTCTTCTTGCACTGGCACACATAATTAGTTTGGATCTGTCAAGTCATGTATTGCATTGCGAGGCGTTGCATGCGTTTCTTGCCAACTAAAACCGTGATGCAGCTCCCCATCAACTCTGGGTGTTTCTCAGCACAGATCCATGCAAACAGTGGCACTCCGCATCGTCATGGAAGTGGAAGAGGGCCACCGACTTGGTCTTCGGATTGGTTTCATGGCCATGGGCGTGGAACTGGAGCCATGCCATGAACCCTCCCACCGTGAGGAGGAACGTGGCAGCCCCATGGCTGGCACCCCGTTGGAGCTGAAGTTCTTAAGGTGTGGCACATATGGCTCGGGCACCCCGTGCCAGATGTCGACATGGAGGTTCATATATACATTACTATAAACCACCGACATTCTGGGCATTTGTGCCATCTACTTCCTGAAACCACCTTAACATGTTTCACAGTTACTTGCTCAATCAACTCAAGAACAGCACCTCACAAGAGCATCCCTGCTCCGCCCCCTCCGCCCGGCGCCTCGGCCGAGCTCCATCTGGCAGAGTGCGAGGACGCCACCCTTTTTTGTCAAACGCAACAGCCCCAAAAGTTAAACAAACATGTAATGATGTATTATATGTGTCTATATGTATACATAAACTCGCCCCCAAATAAATAAACACGGGTGTCCAATTCATTTATCTTGGTGCTTTTACTTGTCTATCTACTTGGGGGTCTGTACCCGAAGAAAAGTACACCAGCAGCACCCAACGGGTGCCGAACAAATGGAGCCAAATGTGTGTGTGCCCCTGTCACATCCACTCACTGGATGGGACTCCCAAAACAAGCAAAAGAAAAAAACGACATGGAACGGCAGGTCTTTACCTGTCCGACATGGACGATGTTGGATGGTCTCACTTCATACGCTCACCACGGTAAACCCTGACTGGTCCAGTCTGCGGTTCTTTGTGCCTCCGGGTTTGGGCCCTACACCACCGAGCATGGGGCCCTCGACTGATCGAAGATGTCCCCGGATTCTATGTTTTTGACGTTCCGATGTTCCTGAAGGTGGACTGGAAGTCATGAAGTATCCATGAATCGATATCAAACGCACCAAAAAAGAAAAAGAACCAATATCTCATGGATCATGTTGTGGTGGAACATGATATAAGGTAAGAGTTGGGGGCAAACAAATTGGTCGTTTAGGTCTTACCCAGACGCTCCAGACAGCCCTTGGCTCCTCAAAGCCTATGGATTGGTTCGACCCGAGACCCCTCTAGACGATTCGGGCCCGACCCCTCCAGAGGATTCGGGTCCAGGGTCGCGTCTGGGTAAATGGATCCAGGCAATGCTCCATCTCCCTTTTTCTCCTTACAAGGGATCGTTCCACGTGCATCACCTGGTCCCATCAGCGCTGCATGGAGCCACGCAGCCTCTTCCCCACGCCCCGCCTCGCCAAAGGGAGCTTCGCCCTTGCTTAGCCAGCCTTTCTCCTCCCAACAGTGCCGAATGCCGAATGATGTGCGTGTCTTCCCTTTCTTCAGGAAACCGGAAGCCTGGAGTCTACTATCCATGAGATCTATGTCTGGTCACGAAGCGCCGTTCAAAGGCCATATGGGCCATAAGCCTTAAGGGTAAACACGTGGTGCGCAAATGACGGGTCTTAAGCACATAAAAACAACAAGTCTACACTCCCGTTCGCCTGGCTCGAACCCCCTCGGCTTCCTCCCACAGACCAGCGGGTCGCCTCACCCGGTCCAGGGTCCGTGCGTCAGGTGCGGAGCCGGTCGCAACGAGTGCCGGGACGGGGGCTGTTGATAGTTCAGAAGTGTTCTCTGCAGAAACTCTGCAGATCCATCAAGAACTGGAGCCGATCGGCCTCCGGGCCTCCCCTTTTTCAGCAGCTCCTTCCCCTTGAAGCCTTCCTTGCCCTTGTCGATTCTCGGCCGCTTCAGTTCTTGCCTTGGAAGAGCCATCGATCCGCGCGCCAGCCCGGCTTCGGAACTCCGCGTCCGTCGTGCACTCGCGCGCGTACTCGCTCGCTTCGCGGACATCGGACAGCGAGCGGACGCCCGGTGGCTGGAGCGTCGAATCGTTGGTCGGACGTCGAATCGAATCGACGCATCCGGGTGGCTCTTCAGGCTGCGAGATCCAGTTTCCTTTCTCACCTGTCACCCAGCCAAGCTCCCGGAGAGCGAGAACGATCGAGAGCGTGGGATCTCGGCGTGGGGGCGTTTGGGTTCACTAGTATGGGTTCTAGTAGGTTGGCACACACACACACACACACACATCTGTAGGTATTAGGTATAAGTTATAAATAGATAAATATATCACACGTACATAGACAGATGGTCACCACATGTCACCACTTAGTCTTCAAAATGGATCAAAATGGGAAATCGTCCAGAATTTCTGGCTGGGTCAGGTGGAGGATAGCTCCTCGGTGTGGGTGACTGTGTGAACTGGGCAGCTGTGTCATCACAACCCTTGTCTAAGGGAATCTCCATGGATGGTGCTACCTGGTCAATGGGACAATCCAGAAGGCACTCCTCCTGCCCCCGACCATCTTTGCCGTGCCATTTGACCCAACCAGCTTTCGACCCTTCCTGCCCTGCACCGCGGAGCCAGCGCCTTTGTTGGAGGCCCACTTCCCCTGTTGCAGCACTCGGATCACTCCCGTCGTTCGGCCCATGCGAGTGGTCCCACCCCTCGTGGCCCCCCCGGGTTCGGGCCGAAAAACACTTCTGGTGGGGTGACGACCGTTCCTTGCAAGTGGAAGTTCTCAATAGCCCAGTGGCCACTTCGCCGGGGCACCCCCCAAAAACCCACCGGAAGCCCCCCCGAAAACTCCTGCGTCTGGCCTTCGCACATGTCTCGCAAGATTGGCATCAGGAATTGTTTTTCGTCAGGGGAGGCACCGCGAAGAAATGGACCCGGCAGCCAAGCTACAGACAGCAGCGGATCCCAGGGCGCATAGTCCAACAGGGTTACAGGGATCCCGTCCGAATCTCTGTGAGCAACTTTCGTTGACCGGTCCATGTGGGGTCTTTGGGTGCACACCACGGGCCGGCAGCTTTGAGGGGCCATGGAATGGCCACGGGCACCCCTTTCCTAAACCCAACCCAACTCTTTGATTTTGTGCGTCCTCCTGCACCAACTCGGCTTCCACCCCACCCCCTTCCAGATTGCTCGATCTATCATCCGGGAGCCCACACCTGACCCTTCCAGAAGTCGCCTTTCTTCATGATGTCTAAGGCTGGATACTTGTTGGCTTGGTCCATCTTCGTGCTTGGTCCCTCATCTGGCAACTCTGCTCGAAAAAATGCAAACAACACGCAAACAACACCTGGCACCTTGCTTTGTGTTCCTGTGTCTGGCTCTCATGCTCTTGTGTGTTCCAGAAAGCGTCCCCCTACGGCGCATCGCAGCAATGTCAAGCAGCGGACGAGACCAAGTGGCGTGAATCTCAACCCGTGGCGACCCATTTTGACTGACCGTCTATGGCATGCCTGGTCTATGGCGAGGGTGTCGAAGCAAGACCTGAAAATGGAAAACGATCCCTATGAAGGAGTGGTGACATGGAGGTCAGCTTTGCGGTGTCCAGCTTTGTGGGGTACCCGAGAGTATTTATGACAAATCTTCCAATAGGCAAAGGATGACGGCAAAAGCATCAACGGAGTCTGAACCACCGCTGGTGGGTCATGGTTCATGGACACCCCTTAGCTTTTTAAGGGACCATGAGGCTATTACAAAATAGGCACTTCTGAGGGGACCGTGGCATATACAGCGTTTCCCATGATCTGAACCTACAAAATTCCAATTTACCAACAGAACAACCGCCACCCCATCCTTCCACCCCATCCCCTCGAAGCTTTATGGTCGACTCCGATCCCCTCAACAGCCAGAAACAGCCAGAAACATCCTTTTTTCTGCAATCTCGCCAGCTCACGGACATCCTTCTCCGCCACCTTCTCCGAAGGTCTCCTCCCCCCAAACCGCTCGCCACCCATGTCTCACCTTTCGCTCGCAGCACTTCGGTGCTCAGATCGTCAGGGTGTATGGCCGTCCCTGCAAGTGCTTGGCCACGGCGGCCCGCGCCTCGGCCAAGGACTGGTTCAGCGGGTCCTGGGATTCTCGGTGGAGCGAACCCGAGAAAAGCAGAAAAGCATGCCCATGCCCCTGGCTGACCTGGTACTTAGTACCTGTAAACAGTGGATGATGATGATGATGATGATGATGATGATGATGATGATGATGATGATGATGATGATGATATAGATGGATCATAAAGGCCGTTCTGAAAAATAGTGACCAATGCCTAATGCCTACTGATCTACCGACGGTTACAAATCATATGGACCGTTACGTCTACCGCTCGTTCTGGAGTTCCTTTGGATAGGGTTTCTATCCGAAGGGTCCAGGCCCTATCAGACCCTCAAACACTTACCTGGACCACAAGGGTGCCCAATGGAGATCCACAGTAGCGTAGGGTATTCCATTGGAGACCTCTCAGAAAACGCCGGCGGGGTATTGAATGTGGCCCCTACGGAGGCAATACCAGGCACACCTCCCTCGACCCACTCCCTCGACCACTCCCGGACGTGAGCCGGCAAGGAAGACCCGAAACCATGTGGGCGCTGGTTGCCAAAGTTGCAACTGCTGCAACTGGCCAGGCTCAGGCATCCGGTCTACACGCCAGGCATGGCGCGCTCCATTCAAAACCCTTGAAATATCTTGAAATGCAATAGTCAGAACGATGATCAAATGATTCCTGGTCTTTTGACACGTGTGACCCCGATATGCCTCCACCAGCGATCGCACGATCGCACCTCGTAGAACCACCGGCGCATGCGCCGGCCGCTGGGCCACATGGCCATGACCACGGAGGTCACATAGCAGTCGACCTCGTCCAAGCGTGGCAGGCCTCGGCCCGATGGCGCTGCGAGCCTAAGGTGCGCCGCTGGGCGCGGTGGTTTTTCCTGTTGAAAGGAGGGTTCTCGTGATGAGCTACCTGTCTTTTTGCTTGACAACCTTGCTCTCGATAGCTAAGATCGAGGAACTTTGCAGCCCTAGCTGGTCCAAGGCCTAAGGACCAATGTGGCACATAAGGGATGAGCCCTCCTGACTGCCTCTGGCCCTGGCCTAGTTAGTTCAGAACGCCCAAAGCCCCTTTGTTTCTTGTATGCACTTCTGCGTCGCAGCGGCCTAGCCGTGTGGACACGGAGCGGTGCACGTAGATGGCATTCCCTGCGCCGTACCAAACCAAGTGATAGCCCAATGGCTTGAGCATGCGCACCTGCCATCCATGCCCCGTCGCGCCCTCCCGCACCATCCCGTCGCGTGCGTGACCACTGGGAGAGGGTGAGACTTGTTCCCAGTCGAAAGGAAAGGTCGGATTCGACCATCTCCGGAAGAATCGGGCAAAAGAGCTCCTCCTGCTTGATTGTCTTGCGTCATTTCCGTGGAGTGACAGTGGTTCACGAAGCGCGTACACGGGTGCACACACACCAAACAAAAGAACATGCAAAATGGAACTTGTCCCAGTTGTCTTCTTTTCATTTCTGTAACTACGAGGAAGTGTTACAACCGCAAAAACACCTCTTCAAACCTTGGCCTCTTTTCCAGCCCCACACGTCCCCACACGTCCGCGCCTGGTAGCTCAAGGAGCATCCCCAGACCTGGCCAGCGACCGATCCTGAAAGCCTTCACTTGGCGGTGTTGCTGTGCAAAAAGATGTATTAAAAAACCATGAGAACCGGTAAATCCTTTCATCTCTGAACCCCAAAGGATGTCGGCACGGATCATTCTGTCACATGTTGCCCATCTTAACAGGCTTTTTGAACATCGTTCTGTCGGTGGACTCAGGTCACCTTCCCTCCCAAGGGGGTCTGAGGTCGTCGACGGGGAGACCAGAGCCACGGACGCCAGCTGTAGTGCTTGGCCCCCGGCGGACCCATCGCTCCATCATGGGGCCCCAACCGAACCGCCGGAAACGGCAGACATGCTTGGGCCAAGCCTTTTTGGATCTTTTTGGGGGGCCAAGTGGTGAACCCCCTCTCCCTGATGCCAAAAATCGATTCATGCTGGCCACAGCTGATCCACTAAAAGCAGCATTCCCTTCCGCTGTTTCCAAGCCCTGCATGTGGATTCCAAACGTTCCTACCACAAAAATCGACGGATTCAACTCCTTTCGCCCCAAAAAGTCCAGGGGATGTCCCAGCCAACCTCCTTTCGGCCTGGCATACCTCAGGACAAGTCCACCCCCAGCTCGGCAGGTTCGCCGCTCCACCCAACGCCGCGTGCGTGCGCGGTCTTCAGGGACCAGGGGGCCGTGAGGCCGCCCCAGGACGCTAACTGCGGGTGCTCGTGCAGCGAGAAGCGCAACGGGGGCGGCAAGCCATCGAAGACCTGCGACGAAGGTCTCGCGCGAGGTCGAACTGGTGCTGAGGGTCGACCTGGTCGCAGGGTAGAAGATGTTGGACTGGTTGCGTGGGTGCCGTCCTTGTGATGCAAGCATCTCCCCTCTTCCACCTTCCCGCAAAGATATTCCAGCATGCACCATCTCTAATATATATATATATATGTTTTTGTGTGTGTGTGTCATTGCCATTTGGAACCTGTAGATGGCGCAACTATGAGGGAGGGGGAGCAAAAACGCAAAGTCAAAAAAAGGGGCAAGCTTGCAACATACTGCACCGTTTTTTGCACGCTGTAGATGGCACAATGCACCATGGTTTGGAAGTCAATTGCTCTTTGATTGGAATCTCTTACTTCCGAATGACTTTTTACTGTATAGTGGATTGAGAGTAGATGGCACAGACCCCAAGAGGTGGTTTACATGAACCCCCATGTTTTCAGGACATCTTGAGGTCTGTGCCATCGAACCTCTGAAACCACTACAGTATATATAGGTCTACCAGGACTTTGCTGGCCTTGTGGTCCCATCTATGCTCCAAATTCTTCCAGGATCCGGGTGTCACTGACCGAAGAGGGTCGGCTCACCTCCAGGACTCCATGCAGTTGGGTGGACCGAACTGCGAAAGAAAACAAACCAGGCCAACACAAGGACGATGCCCAGAGGCGACCTGGACCCGAACCAACTGCTACATCTCAGGGTCCAATGAGCCGTTGGATGGCACAATTCCAAAAAGCACGGTGTTGAATTCCATGCACATTTTTGTGTTTTTTGTTGATCCTTTTTGTATCCTTTTGGTTCTTCCTCGTGCATACTGTGAAACCTATGCAACCCATTGCAACCCCATCCAAAGCCATCCACACCATTCAACTTCAACCCCGTACAAATCTGTCCAAACCCATCCAAACCAGTCCAAACCCAACTCAACCCCACTCGAACCTATCCGCACCCAGTATCCCAGAACGGGCCAAGGAAAAGAGAGAGAGAGAGAGAGCGCGCGCGAGCGCGGTGGCTTTTCTTGCCAGGCTTTTCATGCTCTGCATGAATCATCGAGGCTTGCCATCTCAAGGCAGGGTCAAAACATGGTCGATATGCCTAAGGCCGCATGACTCTGTTCCCATGCCAAGTTTTTATTGACGATGCTTGTGCTCCTTCCTTCTTTGCCATTCACCACTGGCACACCCTTGCTGATGCTCTTGATGGGACGCCCAACGAAGCCATGCTCGGGCAGGTAAAAGTCGCCGGAGTCAGCTTCCGGACTAAAGCAAGCCATCCTGTGACCCAAACCATGCCGTTCCTATCCGTCCCGCTAAGAATACCTTAAGGTCCCAGCAGTAGTACAGTAGTAGCGCAGAAGGAATTAGAAAAACAAATACGATATGTCATCCGCATATATATATATATGTATATATGTATGTTTTTGTTTATTTTATATGAATAATTGTGTGTCCTTATGAACCATTTCACGTACAAACAGTTGCAAAATTAGATGACTTTTGGTTTGGTTTTCAGAAAATGAAACATCCAAACTGCCAACCAGCGGCGCCAAAGGCGTACTTCCATCTGCTGCACTTTGCGCACTGCTGCCCGACATCATCACATTGGCCAAACAGTTTGACATGTTTCCTGCCGGCAATTGGGACACAGCAAGAGGCTAATCCCAAGCGCAGAGCCCACCTCCTTCCGTGATATGACTTAAGTCCTCACATGACCGGTCGCCCCAAACGATTTGTTTCGCATGCTTCACCCACCTGGCCCTCGCTGGTCCTCGCCTTGTGTGATGGATGTCCTCTGCAACTCAGTGACGGATGCGCCGGGATCCACGGCCAGGGACTTCACCTCGTCGCTGGGAGCCGAGGTTTCGGCGGCTTCGCGCGGGAAACCGCGCACGAAAAGGAATCCGACTCCAAGTGCTTCTTCTTCATGCCGGGGGGCGTCCCAGAAGCCGCCAGGGCCGGCTACTTGGAACTTTTCTACATCTTGTAATATCGTTCTAATTCATGTTTGCATCTTGACACCATACACCCAATCCATATCCGTCAGGGCCTGCATATCCGACTGGCTTGCAGGGCCACCCCCCAAAATTCCCGAGGGTCGGCGGACCTTGGATCCGCGCGCTTGAAGCTCCTCATGCAATTTCATGGCATAGGCCGCATTGGCGAGCTTGGTCATATGATACCGAGTCCAAGGTCCACCGCAAAGGCCTGAGGCTTCGCTCATGATGCAGGTGTGGTTGCCACCCAAGGTGCCCGGCTCGGCCTTCTGGAAGTACTTGGCCTCGGCCACCCGTTTCGGCGGGTCATGGGCAAGCAACGGTGGACACAACGGATCACAAACACATCACATGAACATTGAACATGGCCCAACGCTTGGGGCTTGGCATGGAGCAAAAGTTGATACATTGATTGAACTCTGAAGAAAAACACACGCAGAAGTAGAGAGCTGCATAGTGAAGGGGAAGCCAATTGTTTCTATCCAATTTTCTGCCGCTCGGCCAGCCGGAGCCTTTCGACTTCCACTTCTGTCTTTCACGTGGGATTGGGACCCACCAGAAACCGAGCCCTGCAGCCCTGCCCCAACCACTGCCGGGCAGAGTACCCCTCCAGGAGCGGTGCCCAGGCTACCGATCCATGCAGGGCTCGGTGGCCAGGGTCTAAATGCTTCGGGCCACATCCAAATCGCAGTAGGGAACATCGCGAGCACTCGAGCTGTGAAAGACCACACGTGCTTCTCCCTTCCTCAAGGCAAAAGGACATCGTAAGAGCAACACGAAAAACGACGACGCAACCTGGGTCGGTAACTCCATCGAAAAAAAAGGTTTGAAACGGGGTCAAGGTAGGCCACTATTCATATAGATACTTGAATCTTCCAACCTTGGAGAAGTCGGTAAAAGGCCACTTGAATCATGAAAAGGCCTGGAAGATCCAGGTATGGAGAGTGCGAATGATTCCATGAATCGTCTTGCGCTCGGAGCCACGTCCTATGGGCCCGATCCCTGAGTGAGTTCCACCGAGTGTCTGTGTCGCGCACGCTTCCAACTGCGGCATCAGCTTGGACAAGAGCAGTACATGAGCCAACTGGTTGGTGTGCATCTGGACATCATACCCTTCACCTTGAAACTCGGATGAAAGGAAAGAGATGCGCACGTGCACAAACACAAACACGATACCTGCATGCCCAACAGCTGTCCGATCATCCATCAAAACCTCGCAATCAACAGGGCTCGGCTACGTGGGCCTTGACTCTGAACCGAGCACCGCTTCAGCGGTGGTCCGTGCCGTTTGGTCAGGTGGTCGTGAGCCGTTCTTCTTTGACAACTGGTGGGCAACAAGTTTGTATAGCCCAAGCCCTAGCATACCTATACCCTCCATAGCGGCAGGAATAATAAAGTATTATTCCTGGTACCTTCCAGATGGATTTTGTCTTGACACGTCACTGGTGCGGATGTCGTTCAAGGCCATCACGCCAGCGTTGAGCGCTAAGACATCCAGGCCCTGAACAGCGCCAGAGGGTTGACACGGAGCCACGTGGTTCTGTCGTGCCCTGGGGGGTGGAGGTCGTTCCCCAAGCAGGGCATCCATCCATTCAAGACCCGATGTTTTCACCATACATTGCCCGGTGTTTGCAGAGGGTTGATGAAGAATCCCCTGGATTTGGATGGCCAAAACCTCTGCCGCATGGGTGTTTCTTTCGATATAAACCGTCCACCGGACGCCCTGGTGGTTCTGGAACCTGGAAAGCCACGGATGTGTGGAGGAAGCTCGTCTTCCTTGCAGGGTCCATTTTCAGGTTTCATGATGTTCCATGGATGTTCCATCTGTTAATCTCTTCCCGCATCGCACCGGTTCGTCCCGCTTCGCCACGCCCACCGCCTGGCTTCCGAGCTCCGCCTGCACCTGTGCAGCAGCATGGCGCACGGACTCGAAACTCATCAGGTCACACGGCACCGTCAGCACCTCTGGCCGCGGGCGGGTCGCTTCGGCGCCGATGCCGTGGCTGGGAGATCGTGTGGAACACTTCTTCTTCGGCAGTCCAGTCGAAGGGTCACTCGCTTCGCGCTCAGACCAAGTCAAGCAGATCTTTGGAGATCTTGTTCTTGTCAACCATCGGTTCCAACTCTTCCAACCTCTTCACTCGTGCATCCGCCGGTCGAGGCCGAGTTCGTTCCTCCGAGCTTTGGGGAACTCCAATCGTTCCACTCCCAGAGTTCTTTTTATTCTATAGGAGCTAATGTAGACTCTTGATTAATAACCCCAGCCATTTGACTTGAACATCCTCTTCATCTGGGGGGGAATATGGTTATGGTCCTAGTCTACATGCATCTCGACTCTCGACCCGCTCTTCCTGGAGGTCGCGCTGACCGACCCGCGCCGCCCCTCGCGCCTTGCTCCCCACCGCCTTCTCGGAGATCGACTTCTCGGCCTTGGAGGCGCGGTCCGATGGGCGGTTGAGCAAGAGAACCTGGGCGCGTGGACGTCAGCATGTGGGGAGCGAGACCACCCGTGGAGGGAGAAAAAACCTGGCACGAATCCGGAAGATGCACAATTCAGGCTATATATATATATATATGCCAGGACCTTCCAAGAGGTGTCTATAAATAGCCTCTTAGAGCTTAAGGAGTGTCCAAAAACCACCTGTTGGAAGGTCCTGGTATATATATATATACATTGAATGGAACAAAGCATGGCTTGAAGCGACCACCTATCATTGAAACTTAGCTGTTTTTCAGTGGATTGATCGATCCAACAGCTGCCGTTTGGGAAGACCTCCGAGCCGGCCTTGGCGGCGCCCTTGCGGGCGGCCAGCTCGGCCAAGTAGAAGCCCAAGCCCGTGGTGCATCCGGTGATGGCCACGCACTTACCACTGAGAGGTGGAAGCTTCTCCAACACCTGCGACCAACCACGTCGAACACGCCACGTCGAACACGGCCGCGTGGTTCCCCAAGAGTTTGGAGCCGACGGAGCCTTCACGAAAGGGGCGGGTAGCGAGAGGCAACGTGCCAACTAAAGGGTGGCTGTGTGCCGTGTTAAATGCTTCAAAAAAACGGTGTCCTAGGCGGAAAGCAGTGGAGGTTCGAGGTTCGGGGTCCTTGGGGGTGCCCCGTGATTCATTGACCTAGGGACTAAACACCACCCCTTTGTGACTCCTCGCTCATGCCTCGTCATATATCTCCTGGCTCTTCTCCACTGCTGTCGGATCAAAGGCGCTGAAGGCAGATCCCATGGCAGCGAAACGGAATGAGGCAGCTGGCGCCAGTGCGCACTCAACAATTGAGCTGATGAATGAAGCTCCACCAGCGGGTGACCACATCAACAATTCGAGTGTCTGATGTCAAAAAAGAATGTGATCCTTCCTTCCTGTCCTTCATCTCTGCTGTGCTGTCACACCCACCTAAGAAATCCGCCGAAAGACAGTTGTCTGCCTCCAAAACCACCAGCTTCGCGCGCACGGAAGAGAGGAACCTTCCAGGGCGGAGGAGGGAGATCCCACGGGTTTCCAACCCATTTAGGGAGCCCCAGAAGGTCCAAAACCCCCCAGGTCATCCCACAGTGCAAGGAGGGGCTTCTGGCAAGGACCGAAAATCCCTCCAAAAGCACTCCTGACATCCCTGGGGCCTGGGGGTTTGATCACAAGTGCCATGCCAAACCAGTGTGCCTACGTCCATGCCGCGTTCCGCGCGGGGGGGATCCTTCCCTGCATGGCGAAGAACACGGTGTGGAGGGTTGCAAGAACAGGTCCCCTTGTGTGGTTCCAACACCACCAGACTCACCCTTCTGGAAAAAGAAGTCCTAACGCGTTTCGATGGCGTCTCGCCCGTTCCAACGGGATGGCCCCCAGTTCCATCGCCCCCGGGAAAGCACATGATGCGCATCATCGATCGATGTGATACGCCAAGGAAGCGTCTCCCAGGCGGAGTGGATGGGGACGCTGGTCCTGGCACCCCGTGCTAGAGAATGCTATAGATGTCTTCGACAGAAGGGGTCCATCTCCAACACCGACCTGAGGGGGATGGCGCCAAGGTACTGCCGCGCGGCCTGTGGGTACTTGGGGCGCCTGTGTGGTGTTGAACTGAGACACCGGTGGGGCCCAAAACCCGACCATCCACCCGTGCCGCGCCCCAAGGCAGCGTCACAGTCAGCACCATCAAGGTCCACCTGGCTACAGGTATGAGACAGCCCTTCATTTCAATGTTTGATTTCGGGGTCAATTGACAGCTGATCTTACCAGGTAGACCACTTCATAAGGTTGGACAACGGAAGCACTAGGGCCGCTGTTTAGAAGGGAAGACACGTGTCCAGGACACTCCTCCCCTCAAAGTTCATCCAAAGATCGGCTCGAGCCATGCATCAATGTTTACTTGGCTCCCCGAGCCCTTTCCTACAACATGGTAGCATTGATCGATAGTTGCGTCTTCTCGGGCTGCACATCCACCGATCGTATGCTTCATTGTTTTGATCAGCTCATGGACCGTCCGGTCACCATGGACCATGGACCTCCCCTGACCGATTCGTATGGCTCAAACACGGCGAAAAACCGTCGGCAGGCGACTCAAACTCTGGGTGGACGACTGTGCTTCGGAGCCGTGTTCCACAAATGGGTGGAGCCGTGTGCACAAACGTCACGCTTCAACAGAAATGGAATCACTTGGGCCATCAAAATAGATGATCGAAAACGGGTGATGGACATAGACCCTTTCCCCTCCCTAGATTGCAGGTCATGTTTCATCAGTTTCCATGTGCACAACCAGAGGGATAGTCCAACACCTTTGTAATGAAGGGTCTGATTGGGTGTGTCTTACTGTATGCTGGGAGACCTCCCAGTTCAACCCCCAGGGTTCGAGGGGAGTCTTCAGTCGAGCCATGCTATTCTAATACACACCCAGTGCCCGAATCTGTCTTGGTGGTATCTGGATCCACCGGAGTCAGTGTTTTTGGTAGCTCAACCCATTCATGAACAGAGCCCGCTGATCCCGCTGAGACTGGCGTTGCGCAGGACGCGCAGGAAGGACCTTCAGCACATCCAGCCGCGGCGTGGTGGACCTGCTGAGCGCCCTTCCCAGTGACCCAGTCCTTTGGAGTCCTATCCAATGACCGAACTTACTAAGCCTGTTGGCCTATAAAAGTGACCGCACCCACCCAGGGCTGACCTCAATCCTGGTTCGGTGGATGGGACTCCAGGGGCGCAGTGTCTGCTCTGGATCCAGAGCCCGGGGCCCGGGGAAGACGGGGGAGTCCCAACCGGCGTTTGCTTCGACCGGGAGGAGACCAGTGGGGAAACCCAAGTCGACCAGTGACCGCAGTGACCGGAGACCCAGAGACCCCGAGGCAAAAACCACCAGTGAATCCAGTGCTTCTGGAGCAAGATTGCAGAATCATTGGGCTCGACTGTGATTCCTTGGTTCCTTTCCGTTCCTCAGAAACTGCAGAAGGGGTCCTGTCCCACCCCTATTGAAGTCCAAAGACTGCACTTCGCACCACTGAAGTAAAAGGAAAATCCTTTGCGGGTCACTCCCCAAAGAAACATCTCTAAAATAGAATTAAGCACGTTAGACTCCCCAGAACGATGGTATCCTTCACCACCCACGTCACCTCATCCTCCCACATTTTCTGATTTTTCTGGGCATTAAACCCCACCCACTCGGCTCTCCTTCGCCCCCCCCAAAAGAAAGCGCCAGTGCGCGCGCCCAAACGCGGCGGCACGGGCCTCGCGGCACGGGGCACCTTCTGAAGGATCTCCGGCATCGTGGCCTCCGACACCTCCGGAGGCAGAAGCGATCCCCCGGCGCGAGCGGGGAGAACTGGGGAGACCCGAGGGGCCGAAGAAGGAAGGGAAGTGAAAGGGGTCGTGACAATCAAGTGGGTGTGAAGAGTCTTCAACATGGTTCAAGAATGCAACACCCAGTGAAGATCAGTGAAGGTGGTTTGAGGGTGTCCATGCAACTTCACCAGTCCCAAAAGTTCAAGATCTGATGCTGCCGCTTGATTCAGACTGCTGGAAGAAGTTCTTTCTTTTGCACCCCAATCTGCCAGAGTTCTGCCGGAACATCTTGTGAATTCGTGTGATGAGTCAGAGTTGGAGGCGCCTGCATGGCCCATCCTGCATGGCCCATCCTTCCAGTTTCCATTGGGGTCGAACTCGGAGACCTGCCCCTCTCGTCCCCTCTCGCGGTCTACGTCCACACCTGGAGACACAGAACCTGCACATGAGGGAGGTGCTGGCGATGGCGCTGGCAGTACCTGGTCCACAGAGCGAAGACAGAAAAGGAGATGATAGATTAATTAAGGATTCATTCCTTTTCTGCATGCCTGCTGGATGGCTAAGTTCAGTGCATGATAGTGGAGATGTTCACTTTCAGGATCTTTCAGGTCCCAACTCATCAGCCTTTGACATGGCTCACCCGAGCAAGGTCAGAAAGAATGGCGAGCAGCTGCATTCATGGCGAGCCACCGACACGTTGGCCAAGCACTTCGGTAGACGACACCATCCACCATCCCCAGTGGAAGAAAATGCTCTGACCCACCTTCTTGGCGTTTCCTGTGGAAAACCTTCAAGTGACCTAGTGTGACTACTGTGAGAACATGGTCAAGCGAATCCCTTCACATGTCTTAGACACCCCTCTCAGCTTCCTGCCATTTGGACCCCAAATCCGTCCTCGTCCCTGGACGCGCTAGGATCAACCCAAACCGTCCATCTCAGGGCACTCAGGGTCCATCTCGACGGCCAGCGCAAAGTCCACATGCCGGGGGTCCTCAAGCGAGCGCCGAGGGCGGAGCTCGCGTGGGCGCCGTGAGCGCCGTGAGCGGCGTGAGCGGCAGTCTGGCGCGGTAGAGGTAAGGAGCTGTGGAAGCCAACACCCTTGCAAGTCATCCTCCTGCTTTAGAAAGGTCAGTGTAGCCGATCTGCCGAAAAGGCAGATTCGCTTCAACCTGACATGTCCGACAGGGTCGCATCAAATCGCCCAGGGTCGGATGGGACTGGCGGAGTGCGGATTGGGAGTCACCAGTGCCCGGGCATCCATATGGCCCTCTGGACCACCAGGCCAGCGATCAATCCCCCCGCCACGCGTAGCGGCCTGGGAGCAGGGCCCGATCCCATGTCAGTGGGCTTAGTCCACCAAGAAATAGAAACCAATTGGTACAAGGACTCATCACATGGCCGCTGATCAAGAGAAAAGAAGAACTAGCCAAACTTCTTCAGCAATCTAGAGGAAAAAAACATCGTGAAAATGCCTACCCTGAGTGATGCATGCCTACCCTGTCACCAAAATTGTTGGCCTGGCCAAACTCAGCGAAGTTTCGAGGATCAATGGTCCACCGGAGCCCACCGGAGCCCATGTAGAGTGCTACCAAGTCAGGTTAAAAAAAAAAAAAAAAACCTGCTACTCCTCCATCGAAGTGAAAATGATGAGCAGTCCCTAGGGAGGTCACCAGATTGACTCTTCTTATCCAGATGTGTGTTTCTGGGTGACTGTTTGGATATATAAGGTCACCATCTTCACCAATCCTGGCATCCCCCCCGACAACCCGGCCCGAGCTCGTCCTGCAGCAGGAACTGCAAGGGGTCGTCCCCGACGCCATCCCGTGCGCCCAAGTTCACGAAGCTGTTCTCGGCATCCGGCGGGAGGAAGACCGTCCAGTGAGAGACGAAGGTGCTGCGATTTGGGCAGCTTCATAGAATTAGAATAAGCTAGCCTCTGGGCTCCATCGTTACATAGCCCATACATGCTAGAGGAATACAGAAACCTGTGACTCATCCACAGTGTGCCACAGGGGGAACAGGCACTTCTCCAAAATGATGCTGACCACATGACCACATATGAACACCACCAGAGACTTCCCCATGCTTGGGGATAAAGCCGCAAAGCCAAGCTAGTCCACCTTCTCAGCTCGTCCAGCCCTCGTGCCAAACCCGCATTGCAGGCGTGCGGCGAAAGGGGGGTTGCCCCGTTCCAACCACCTGGCGCCGTGGATCGCCCTGGTCCTTTCGGTCCTTTCAATCGGTCCTTCCACCAGACCCGTCACCGCGTCTGCCAAGTCGGACTCGAGCTGGAACCCCTTTGACCCCCTGTCTTGATTGGACCAAAGACCAGCGACCCGGTCGGTTCGGCTGACCCGGTCGGTTCGGCTGACCCGGTCGGTTCGGCTGACCCGGTCAGTTCGGCGGCCTCAACGCCAGCCACGGCAGCGCCGTGGTGTCCGCCATGGCCTTGGCCTCAGCAGCCTCCGGCTGCTCGCAGCCACGACCCCGGCGGGCCAGAGGCCGGAAGGACTGCCTGGCAGGAACCGGAAAATCAACGTGGTGGGGAACCGGCCAGTCCACGTGGGGAATCCAGTTTTTTGGGGGGCAATGAACTCTAGCAAAAAAGGGGATCTTGATTCATCACCCCTTCAGTCTTCCTTTCGGGCCCATGCCATCCACCTTTATGGAAACTTGAGCCCGACCTTTGAAGGCTCTCTCGGTGCATCCAAACCCCCTACAGCCGCCTGGACCGTGCGGGTGACACCGGGAGATGCCCCACGGTCAACCGAGTTTAGATGTCCAGCGCCAGACCCAAACCAGGAGCAACATTACACTCATCGCTCACTACAGCCATTTGTTCATGACATATCCTGACAATCCTCTCAGAGAATCTCAAGTCCGAAGTCCTACAGTCCTACGGTACGAAGCAGCACCTGTGTTGCACATAGTGGGTGTACTCCCAGAGCGCTTGCGGCGCGACCTCCGGCGCGTTTTCGCCAGAGACGCAGCAAATACTGTCAGGTTGCCTGAGGGCAAATGGGAGTGATGAAAAAAAAGTGGAGCTACTAACCTACTTCTTCGATGACCAACCGTTTTTCCTGATGTCTTGGGTTGCTTTCCCTGTGCAACGCAGAACTCTATCAAAACATCCATAGACGGCTCTTCACTCACCCTTCCCAGCGAACTCTTGCCGACCAATTCACTGCCCGTCCAGGGAGGCACGGAGGGTCCAGGTCATGCTCCCCAGCCAGTGGATTTGGCACCGGCACAGGTGGGCCCCACGGAAGCAATGCCACCCAAGGTCTGTGGTGAAAGGTGGGCCGTGGAAACGTGCCGCTCGTGCAACGTCTTCTGCAGAGGGCTTGCCCTGAGAATTGCCTGACGTTGCTGCGGATGTGCTGCTTTGAGCATTGCAGTTCATCCTCTCTTGGACCCTTTTGACGAAACGGCTCCGGCTCGGTTTGCTTCCGAATTCGTCGCTTATTTTGCCTCTGCATACTCGTGGAAAAGCCGATGGTAGAAGATCGGCACCTCCTGAGCGGGATGGGAAGGTGAATACTATTGAAAACTAAAGCATGAGTCCCACATGGGAGCACAAACTCTTGCTAAGTCTTGATGTCACCGATTGGTCAAGTCCTTCGCCCCTGGCTGGGCGCGCCGCTCGATGCGCCCTGGAAGAATCGGATGAATCGGATGGCAGTGGATGGCACCACCGGCGCCATGGTCTTCGGATGGTGCGTTCGTCGTCCGAGTCGTCGCGGGGTTCGGGGGCCTTAAGATCCACGTGAACGATGAGTCCACACCACTGGAACGATGAAGTCTTCGGGGTCTTGACTCAAGACTCACCGAGCACGCTTCGGCTCCTCAGCCAGACTGTTGACTTGCACGACGTCCATCAGAGGCGGGCTGGTCGTCGCATGCCTGGGTGCTGGTAATCAAAGGGGAAGGGGCTCCAGTCGACTGGGAAGTTGAGGGGTCAAATGTTAAGATGTTCACACCTGGAGTGGCCAGCCAGCCGGCTAGTAGGCACCTGCTCCAAAGAACATGTGCCTTGGCAATTGGGCTAAGAGATTGATCCTCAAGGATTACGTCCCTCCGCACCCAGAAGGGTTTTCCTCCCACTTCTTCCCAAAGGATGCACTTGACCTGTCTTTTGAGGCCTTCGCCTAGAATCTGTGGACAGTGAAGGTTATGAACGCACGCAGAAACGGAAGACAAGGCCTCGCCTAGCCTTTTGGCCCCTAGCCTTCCCCCTGAGTGACCTCCGGATCTGGGGCAGCGCTGCCGGATCCAAAGCGCCCCATCCCTTCTCTTCAGCCCAGGCGCAAGGAGACCATGTGACCCTCCTCAGTGCCCAGCAAGCCTAAGGCCCGCAACTCCTGGTGCCGTCACCAGTGGAACGATCGACTCAACGAGGGAATCTCCAGTTGCAACAGCGCAGCATCACGAGGGCCCCAAGCACCAGGTCCACACCTCCACCACACTTAGGATGGGATTGTCTTGTTTCATGGTCAGAAGTGGAACCTCTTGGCGGAGCTTGCGCAGTAAAACATTCCAGTGCGGCCACAGGGCGGCTCACCAGCCGCGTCCGGAAAAGAAGCTGAAAGTGCTGAGACGAGTGCCGCAAGTGCTGCGCCAGTGCCGCGCGTCAGTCTCCCACCCAACCAAAACAGAGTCTCAGCCCATCATAGTCCATCTACATCGATGCTCCCCTTCTAAGTTCTACATCGACCCGAGGTCGACAGCGGTGGTTTTTTTCCTCGTGTTCGTCACTGGACCACTAGACGACACGCATCTCCTCGAGGGGTTGCGGACCCAGAATATGGAAGTTGTTCCAACCTTGGAGTTTGATCACGGAGCTGGCCCACTCAGTCCGGGGAAAGAAGGTCCATGGGATGAGTGACTAAACAATGGATCCAAGTTACTAGTTACATTTAAATAGTTAGTAGTTTTTTTGATATGTGTGTGTGTGCGTTATCGTCCAATCTTCCATTTCTATGCATCTTGTGAGTCTCAGAACTTGAATGACACAAATTGCCCCAAAGACTTCCAAGAAGCTTTTCGTCCGAAGAATTCTGACCAATGTCCACCCACCCCAGAACAAGCTCAGCTTGAGCGCACAAAAAGCACCTTTTGAACACCCCGGAGATCACCAAAAGTTGCCAAACTCCCAACTCTGGAGCTAGAGGCCCCTGGGAGGACGTCCTGACAGGTTTAGCCTGCGCGGAGTGATCAACCAATGGAGCACCACAAACTGATGATTCAGCCCCTACCACTGAGTGTTTGGGATGAAACCAAGCGCCATCCGAAATTGCACAAAATCTCGTGCTCCAATGGTTGCAGGGTGCCTGGAGAACCTGGACTGGAGTGTTTCCACGGCTTGAAAAATCTCCGCCGTGGCCGGAGTGGAATGTGGCGGACCGGGGGACCACGAAGAGTTGGCGCGTCTCCATATGGATCCAAAGGATCCAACCACCCCCCCAAAAAAGTTATATGTAAGTATATAATAATTGACTATACTATCAATTATTTACCGCTTGCCTGGATGCTTTAGGGTCGCCCTGAAGGCCTTTGAAGCTCTTCAGACCTTCCGCCCCACCCTGACCAGCACCGACTCGGCCATACAGGCCGACGGCATGAATCCATCCCAGGCGACTGAAGAGGCACTGCACGTCGGGCGCCCGAGTGCTACAGGGGTCCATGTCATTGGGACGACCGTTCCTGAGACCCCCCGGACCCCCGGCGATCGATCGCTGGGAACCGACGCGGCCGGGGGTCGGTCAACCGGACGGTCTCCTGGTGCACATGGCCCAGGTAGTCAAGTCGGCAAGGTAAGTGAATTGTAGTAGTCCCCACATGCGGGATCAGGGGAAGTCACTGGGGATGCTTCAATCCACAGGATCACACTGAGTCTCTGCCACCCCCCTCCGCTTTTCAGACCGGATGCGTTCGGGAACGCTCGTGCGACTGTGGTTGTCCACCCTCAATAAACTAGACAACCATCACATTGACCGAAGCTTAGTGCTCGTGCCCTGCCACCCAGAAGAACACACGTGAGTTGCACCCACAACTGGAAGGGTGCCCTGGAACCAATTGGTCATTGTCTTGCCCCCACAAGAACAAAGAAATGGCACGTCACACAAGAGTGTTTTCTTGTAAAACCCCCCTCAGCGAGGATCTTTGATGTGACTTCTGGAGGATTCGTGAGATAAGGACGCACCATGGACCAACGACTGCAGGTCACCAAAACGGTCTCTCCTTTTCTTTTCGAAGGCTCGTGGGGTCCTTCACCGAAAGGGAAAAGATCGCCCCTGAGGAGACCCATTTGCTTGGCGAAGAGCCAACGGGTCCCATTTCGTTTGAGTGAGTCAATGTGCACCGCCAGAGGGCTGTTCATCACTCTTGCCCACGGTTTTTGGGATCTGTTGAGGCTGAGATGAGAAGACTCTCAGCTTCAATCTGCCAGGCGTCAAGGAGAAGGACCTTGGAGGCAGCAAGAAGCCATAGAAGCCACTCATCTCCGTGTCCTCAGGACTCTCAGCTTCAGAGAAAGCTCAATCAACATGGTTCCAAGAACCATCATGGAGGTGGAACGGTCAGCTTCCATGCTTGGAGGCGTTCAGATGCGTTCAGCTGGCTCAAGGGTTCACTGGGCAACGACCACTTCGATCCTCTTTGATCGGTGCGAGTTTGGGTGGCCCCTTCGAGCTGCCCCACCACCAGCACCAAGAGACCCTGCTGGGCACTACGCGGTCTTCGACCAATTGAGATGGTCTGAGATGGTCCAAGTGGTCTTCGACCAAAACAAGAAGGGGCCCATCTGTCTCTTCCCTGCGGCACCCAAGTCAGTGAGGGTGCTCAGGGTCTCATGACCCATGATCCTGACCCAAGGCATGACCTGACAATACTGATACAGGTCTTATTGTCAGGCCACTCATGATCAGGCCACTCATGATAGTGGAGTCATGCCAATTGAATCAAGATCAGCACCCCAGACAGTCCAGGATCCAACCCCAGACTTGAAGAAGCTGGAGAATTGAGTGGAGACTCCAGTGGCTGGAGACTAGTTGGTCCCTTTGGCGGTATACGGGACCATGTTGGAGCACTGTCAGGACAGGACCTGACACTCCCAAACTTGCGGGATTCAGAGACCTGAACGTTTGGACCCTTGGTCTGTGGTACATCTGAGGGCTGTGAGCACCTCTCTTGGGACCTCCCTGAAGCCCGTCCCAGGGGCGCTGCGGCAACACTTGGCGCCCACGGAATCCGCCAGCTCCATGGCGCCTGGAGGGCCCGGATTCAGGATCTGTTGATGTTCGGTGGTGTTGCCCAAAACCACCGGCGATGACTACCAGCACTGCCGAGTCCTACAGGTCTCCGAAATGGAGGCTTTTGCTGACCTAAAAGTCGCAGGTGACCCGTTGGAGGGTACTGGTAGAGGGTCCAGGTTGGTGATTGCACGTGATGCCCCCAAAAAAGCGGAGGGCTCGTTTTGGGAATACCCGCCTATTAAACCAAGCAGCTGTAGACCGATGCAGCCACCCTCTTTTCCGCATCTCAGGCAGTCCTCTCCCTCGCTGGGTCCCCTGACAGGCGCTGCTCGAGGACACTTGGTAGCAACACTGCTCAAGCCTCGAATGGGTCGCTGGGTCGCTGGGCGTCGGCGAAGACCTCCGTAGAGGCCCCAAATGAGTCACGAACCCTGCCAGTCACTCCCACCGCCACCGCCCCAGAAAAACCATCAGCCCAAAGCGAGGAGTCGCGCCGGTCCAAAGCGGGGCTAAGCTGGGTTGAATGGGTTCGAATAGAGACCCCAAAAAAAAGAAGGAGCCTTGGACGACACCATATACAATAAGGCCAACTGGTGCACTCGCCCAGAATAGGGGGGGAGCTATGCAGGTTTCAGGTTGGACAGCAAAACTCGAAGGAAGATCCAGTTCAAGCCCAAACCCTGAGGCCACGAGGCAGCTCTTGCGGCTGGAAGTTCATCATCATGGCGCACCACTCCACAGCAGCTAGACCCTCCCGGATCTTCATGGCCCCTGCCCGATCGGCGGATCCTCCGAGAAAATCCCTTGCTGTGCCGATCCGGGGCCCTCTCGGGGGGTTCCCCGCGCGGAACCAGCGAAGAAACTCCCTGCAATCCCAGGATACCAGCGATGAGACCAAGAGCTCCTCAGTAGGCTGGCCTTATTTGTTACAAAAAACGTATTAAAAGAAAATTTTCCTTCACTCTGGAAAGTCGCCGCTGAACACCGTGCTCAGAAGATTTTGTGGGAGAAGAGTTCAGAAGATGTTCAGAGAATCCTCTTTCTCACTCCATGTCCTTCTCACATCCTTTCTTCTCACACGTTCCTGCGACTTCAGCCTCTTGGCATACACCGCTCCTTCCACCTTCCACCGCTCACGAGGCCGGACCCTCGCCTTCATCTGGCACCTCCGCCACCAGCGCGAGCGGTAGAGATGCCACAGCACCACGCCACAGTGGAGCCATGGCAGGCGAGGCTGGGGGCCGAGTGGGGCTGGAGTGGAACAGGGAACCCTCATGGTGAGTTGCGGGGCATGGGTGGGTGACCCGATTGGCCCCGTGCGGAGTGGTTGGCTCTTCATGGTTTGTCAGATACCACCCTCAGGCGGAAATGAGAGAAAATCAGGGTCTGGCTCTGGCTTTCGGTGGGTCAATTTCAAGATTTCTTTCGTGTCCCTCCTTGGCTTTCGGGCGTCCAAAGATATGATCCGAAGCTTTGGGTTCCTCAAGTCGTGTCGGGATGTTCCACCCTCAGTCGGTTGGAACGCGGTAAACGACTATCATCTGCTTGGGCCCACGTGGGGTGCGAGCGGCAACAGCCGCCGAAGCCTCTACTAGGTGATACGCAAAGGTTCCACGTCAACTTGATGGCCTTCCATGGGGTGCAAGTTGAGAATGTTGACGGTGGTTGGATAGGCCATGGGGCAGTTCCAAGCTGAACCTTGAGAAATCAAACCGCCGCGAAGCAGTCTCGGAGAATGCGAACAAATCTCAGAGAATTCATCCCGGGATGATTGTGTGGGACACCATGGGTGCACACCACCCGGGTTTTTCCATCAATGTCAGCTCCACGGAAGCATGGACATGATTCTAGTCCGTTCAAGCACCTTCCCACATGGAGTTTGGAGGTTCCAGGCACCTCTCGCAAGCCCTGGCGGCCTTTTTGTCGATGCCCGCACGGGCGCGCGACAAGCACGAGGAGCGCAGCCTGTGGACGGGACCCCTCCTGCCCTCGTGGTCCCGGGGAACCCACCTCTTGGAAGTATTTCACGGCGAGCTACCGATTGATGAATCGAACTGCCTCCTCTCATTGGAAGCAATGCCAGAAATAGAACTTTAAGTCTAAGATAAGGACTCGTCCTCGACCAAATCAGCGTCTCGGAGGTCCTTCGGCACTGGCCCCTCGATTTCTGGTGGCTGCTTCCGTGCTGATCCCGCCTGCCGGCCGCCCGGCTGGCGGGGAAGGCCGCCGTCATCGTTCCTTTCCACGGCCAGACTTGCCTCGCCGTGGGGACCGATGGGGGAGCGGACCAGGCGGTGCCGGAAGCATCGAACGTCTTGGATGGTCTTTCTTAATGCGAGCCCAAAAGAATCATAGTATACACACCATAGTACCAAAGCGGGCCCCATTTTCTGGCCCGTCTCGGGGAGGAGAGAGATGGCTCCAACTTAGGGGAACTGGAATCGCTCCTGAAGGTGCCACCCGGTTCCTCTGACTGGCACTAGAGTCAGAGAAGCAGGGCAGAGATCCACCCCAGCACAGCAGAGCTTCCGGGCCTTTCTTTCCTTTCCCTTTGCCCTGGCTCGAAGCTTCCGAGCCGAGCTCACTTTCTGAGCTCAGAAAGCATCACCCGACGGACCCAATGAAGAGCTTGGGTGGCGGACTGAGGGGAGAGGGTGAAAGTTCAACTCGAAAGCTTCTGACGAGTACGGCACACCCTGTGGGTGGGTCTCTCTCTCTCTCTCTTCTCTCTCGCTCTCTCCATTTTTCCTGATGTCAACGATCGAAACCCTCCAAGTCTGGTGTTCAAGACAGCGAAGGGAGTCCAAGAGATTCTTGGAAGGTCGCCACCCGAAGTGCATGGTCTCAAATCATATGTCGGTTGCTACATCCACCTCGAAAAATCAAGCCATGCCCAAACTGGTCATGTCTCCTTGACGTCTCCCGACAGAGCCTCGTGTTGTCCAACATCACGTCCGAGGGGGGGGAGCTCGACCGGCGGAAGTCCCTTCGACCCTCATGGAGTCTTGAGAATCCGCCTTCCCTCCGATGCGGAAGGGGCCATGCTGGCGCCCCCTCTCCACCGCCTCCCCCGCGCCTTGGATTTCCCTTTCTCCTGGACCCCGCGCACGGTTCGCGCGGACCCGTCGGTGGGGTCGCCACGGGGTCGACCATGCAGTTCGATCGCTCCCCCTTCTTGCCCCGGTCGGTCCATGGGAACACATGGTCATCCCTATCACCATCTACCACCCATGCAGATCCTATCTCCGCATGCAGTCCTTCCCCTTGCGATCGCCCTTTTTTGCCTTTCCCTTTGCCTTTCCCCTGGGCCGGGCGGCGGCCATTGGCCGATCACCTCTCTGACACACTGATTAAGTGTTTGGAACCACTGGTTGCCTATATACCTACTATAGTAGGTTAGTAGTCCACTTGACATCATGAAGCTGCAAATTAAAAGCAAGTTCCAGCAAAGAACATGAATACAGGTTTTGACATCTACCCTCCCACACTGATCGCTACTGCTCAGTGCTTCAAAACCTTCTGGATGATCTGGTTCACCCCCATCGCACCTTCTCCAAGACCTTCTCCAGAGCCACCTGGCAAAGCATGCTGAGTGAGGCGAACGAATTTGCACCACCCCTTGGACTGACTCCAAATTCCATCGATGAATATGCCATCATGGGCCATGGGCGAACTTCCAGGAACTTGGTTGCCAAGTAGTCAAGAGTTTGGGACGACCATAGGAGTGGCCAAAGAAAATATTGTCATAAAAATGCCCGGCAGGACGACCCTATACGCATCCGCACGCGTTCCCTCCGAACACATGCCGTGCCTCTTGCAGGAATGCGTCCTGACGAGAGACTGGGAATGTGCGATCAGGTTGCTCCACCGGCCACGGAGCAAAGCTCAACAGAAACAATTCTAGAAATGCGATGGCCCCCTGTCTCCAGCCGTGCTGCAAAATGGATGAGCATGGTCTCCACATGTCTCCACCAAAAACTTCCCCCGGACTCTTCACGAACACCGGCCAAACACCCGTCACCAGATCTCCGATCTCCTCCTCTTCACCCGTCACCATTCTCACGAGCAATCCTGGGCACCATCGCAGCGACGTTAAGCAGGAAGATGGTGCACTGGCCATAGCTATGGCAAAAAAAAGCCTGATCCTTGGAATTTCCGAGGGTGCGGAACCCATGGAACCTCGAAAATCCTTCGAAGCAAGATGTCAAAAGTGGGTCCCAAAGGAGAAACACGCCGCAAAAACCCACCAAGATTTGAGAATCGAGGCTTTTCTGCAGGCTGCGAAGCCGCACCGACTCCACGATTAAGGCGTTGACTTGTTCGGAGCTGCTCCGGAGACTTTTGGGGTCCAGTGTCCAGTGTCCGTGCCCACTCCGATGGGGTCATACGCTCCGATAGGGGAGTTTGGACCCTGTTTTAGAATGCAGGACAACATTGGTTTGGAGCCGTGTGCCACATGTTCTTTTGGCAGGATCGCCTGATGAGCTCGAATCGACTTTTTCAGTGCAAAAAGCCTGGATTAGATCGCAGATCTGGGTCAGCCTGTGTCGCTTCTAGGGTGGGTGGCTTTTGCTATTGGCACTGAAACCGTCGATTCGAGTTTATCAGGCAAAATTTGCGTTGAAGATATTGAGTGGAAATGAAGTTGCCCGCAATATTGAGACACAAACGCTTGCTATTTCAAGGGTGGGTTGGAATCAAGCGTACAACAATTTGGGCGTCGGTCCAGCACGCTCCCTGAAAAAGAACTGCATCAGACCCCGTTGACTAGTGCTTCTCCGGCACGGACCGTGACGATGTCCCTCACATCCTGGGAGCAGGTGCTAACCATCCACGGAAGACCAAACGAAATCGAGGCACTCTAACCTAACCAGACCAGATCAATGTGGAACAGGATTTGCACACTCGAAGGGGTGGGACCAACAGCTTTCCACCTGGCAGGCAGAGAAGAAGAAAAAGAAGAAGAAGAAGAGAATGAAAAAGCAGGAGAAGGAGAGGAGGAATAAGAGTGCAGTATATGCATGTATATGCATGTGTATGTGGTGCCAGGCTCCGCCAAGTACCTATATACTCATTGAAATGCCTGCATATACATTTATATACATGTTTCCATGTCTTTCAACTGACTAGTTACCTCACCTGTCGCCTGATCGTTCAATCCTTTTCGCGGTCTGGTTTCCTCACACCTTTCGGAGCTTCTGGTGCCACCGGTGCCGCCCGCAGGAACCACGGCCCTCCTTCATGCCGTCCCCACGAAAGGTCTTCGCCTTCGCCTTGGCCTGATCCGCGATCCGAATGGGACTGTAGATGGCACTGGGAGATGGCAGGGCTGTGCCGAAAAGCGAGTGAACCCTCCTGTGGTTTTCTTGGGCCCCTGGTGCGTCGCATTTGCTTTCAGCTGCCTGGCCGCTGGACTATGGACCCCTCACGACAACTCAGCCGTGGAGGACGTTCTCTTGTAAGGGCCCATTGTGTTCCAACGGTCCGTGGAACTTCCTCTGACACCATGGAGCCACCCGCACGTGCGCAGCACGGTCCGCGCCCTCCTTTTCGCCAGGCGGTTCTCAGCTTCAGCAGCAGACAGGAGCAGACGGAGGCCTTGAAATAGGAACACATGGACATAATTACTTGCAAATGGCTGTGGGGAAAAAGACGCAGCAGAGGTGCAGCAATAAGGTCATTTTTGGGAAACCGGTTGTTGCGACCTCCATCCATTCCTGATAATATATCAAGCGAGTCTGACCTTTCGTCGCCACAAGAAGCTTAATTGGTGCTGCGAGATGCGGGCCAAACACCACTTCAGATCCCCATTGCACCAGGTGATGGCCACCCAGATTCCTGGCCCCACCGATGCTATGGTGCTGGCCAACAATCAGTGTAGCTGTTGGATGATGCTTTTTTGATTTACTAAGGAATTGGGATTCTCTGACTTTCTGGACGCTGCAGTGTAGAGATTTCTCCTAGGAATTCTCAGGTCTTCGCGGTATACACCCCCACCACCAGACAACTACGGGGTCTGAAGGTCGACCTTGAAGAAGTGCCGGGCAGCTCGATCGAAGCGGGAAGCAGCTTGACCTCCCAAAAATCTCAGCATCCAAGAGAGGTTGAATGACCCTATAGACTATCCCATAGGTATCCCAGTAGGGTCCTATAAGGTCTTTCAACCTCTGTGGGATCCTTCTCTTCATCGTTCATCCTTCATCAATTCACTTCCTTCTCTTTTCAGCTCACGGGCCGTCCTTCTCAGCGAAGGACACGAAATGACCCGCAGCCCGCAGCGAGGTCTGAGCAGCTATCCCCTCAGACAGCTCTCAGCTGGTGCTCAGACCTCAAGGAGCCGCTTGAAAGCGACCGAGGGCCCGGTGCAGATGACCCTGAGAGTCCAAAGAAAACCTCCAAGACTAGGTGGCTTGGGGAAGCTCCTTTGACCTCGGTTCTGGCAGTCTTATAGTCGAACTGGACTTCTAAGGGTTACATTTGGTTGTATATGCTATGTCTGTGCGCATGGGGCATCAAAAGCCTGCCAGTTCACCTTGAAAATCGGGGTGCCCAGCACTGGGTTTCTGAACCGGCAATGGTCTTTTGCCGGGACACCTCCAAACCCCCAGTTTGATCAGCTCTCTCACGATCACCAGTCAGCTACCACCTAGCCACCACCTGCCCGCCTTCGCACCTATCCCCCAGCAATCGCCTGGCCTTCTTGGGCGGCACCATCTCTTCTTGCGAGCTTCCGCTGAAGCCCTCAGGGTGGCACACGGTGCGCGCCATTGGGCCGGTGCAGGAGCCCAGAACCAACGGGACCTCAGAACCTGGGGGTCAAAAAGCCAGTCCTAAACAGCCCAAAGAGATAGAGTCTACCAATTCTCAAGTGAGGCGTAGGATGATTGGGGATCCTGGGAATCTTGGATTAAAGTTAGAGCAGTTAGAGCTTTTAATTGAAGCACCATCGGAGATCTGGGTTTGTGGGGACCCCTAGACACGTCTTCTTTTTCTTCGGCTTTTTCTTGTGCAACTCACTTGCACTTCGCCCGCGCCTGTGCGACCAGGCGTTCGAAGCCTTCCATGGCCTCGGCCATCTGCTCAGCACAGGAGCCCAAGAAATCCGACTCCACGGTCTCCTGGCTGCGCTGAAGGGTCGGACCCTTCGGAAGCCTCCAATGCATACAAAAAAACATGCCTCCTTCAGTCTACCACGCCGTCCAAACCCCTGGGCCACCAAGTCTACCATCGATCATGACATGGGTCCCAAACAGAATGCTGAGAAGGTAACATGGCAGGCTGCTTGGAAGAACCAATGGCGGCCGGGTCAAATCCCGGCCCAGGTGTTTTCAACCGCGGGTGCAGATGGAAAACCCTTGGCCTCAGACCCCGGTCGTCGTGTCCTCTTTGATGACTTCTCCCGTCTTCTCCTTGGCTTTTTCCAGCTCCTGGACGCCAATGACACGCTCCGACGGGATCGCGTGGTCGGGAGCGGCCCGACGGACTGGAAGAACGGCTGAAGAACTACCCTTGTCTCTCCACGCCTGCAGGTCGGATTCCCAGAAGTCTTCTCAAGATGACCAGCGAATGCTCAGTGGTTGGGAGATGTTGGAGAGTCTTTCCGGAACACTTGTCTCCACTTCCTCACCACCCTGAGTGAGACACTGGGCTGCCTGGACTGTGACGTCGGCACACTAAAACTTACCACACCCCAGCATGTTCTAAGCCTCCCAGGGCCACGCCCTTGGGCATGTTGATCAGCTCATCCTCTTTGCGGCGCCGGAGCGTTTCCCTTCGCCGACACCGTGGACGGCCCCGGGTGATCGATCGGAGCCGTGCGATCGATCGATCAATCGGGGCCTGTTGGAGACCGGCGGCCGAAAGCAAGGTCAGCAGGTCGAGCATTCGTCCAGCCTCGGGCGCGCCGGAAGCGGGCGGCGCTTGGGGGCGGGGGAGGCGGTGGCTGCGAGCCGCTTGGGGGGGGGGGGTCCAGAAAGTCGACTGCTACGGGTCTGGAAGCTCGAGAGGTTGGGGAACCATCGGAGCCAAGAACCAGCTGACCCGGTCAACTGGTGAAACCAGAGAGCCGGAGGTCCGCGAACCCATGCCCTGGGGTTACTGCGATTTCAGCGATTCAAAGCTTGTGAGCTGCTGATCCTATTTAGGATCCAGAACTGCATATTTCAGGCTAAGGCAGTGTAAGGGACCGCAAGGAGGAACAAATGTGTTCCTAAGGTGACTTGTTCTTCAAACTCAGGGAGTCCTTTTAGGGAACTCACAATCGTTCGTCCTTTCATTCTATATGAATAGAAGCCACATGGACACTCCCAAGTTCCCTAGATCTTATTCACCTCTCAGAAAGCGCGAGAAAATCGAGAAGTGGAAGGAATTTGAAAAAATAAACAGATCCTCTCGATACCTGATGCCTGGATTCTGCTGTTGTGGAATGCCGTGCGCACACACGTTTGTGTTTTGATGCTACACTACGACCATCTACGACCCACCATTTGGCCCACCAGGCGGCGATTTCGAGCAGAAAACGGTTGGCAAGAAGCAAGGCTTTCAGACTTTTTTGAGCAACTCTTGGCTGCCCAAGTCGTGGGTCGCGCGTTGGGGCTTTCACCGGGGTCCAAACGACCCAACCAACTGAACCCCTTCGGTCCAGGTGATGTCGTGGGTCCATCGACTCCTTTAAGGCTCAACATGGCGACGACCGACGTGTCGACCGAGCGAAGCGAGCCGAAAAGCGCTGCCGCCGTGGGTGTTCCACCCGGCCTTTTCAAGGACACCCTGCCTGGCAGTCCTTTGCACCATTGATTTCCAGTGGGAAGTAGATGGCACAAATGTCCGAGTTGGGTGGTTTGGACCCCCATCAAAAAGACCTCGTGGGGGGGAAGCCACTGCATAGGGCATAGGGTTCTTAACTACCGGACCAGCATTGTCTTATTGACGGTTTGAGGCCACAAGCCAGGTCAACAAATTTCAATTGGTCTTGCAGCGGCCAGTTGAGGACATTCGTCCCCTTCAGCCACCAACTCCGACAGACTCAGACTTTTTCAGTTCAGCTCAGACAAGCAATCAGCAGCCTTTTCAGGAGCTCCCTCTACAAAAACGTCAAGGACTCTTGGTTCAACTCTGGAAAACATGGCATGGGCCATACAGAAACACCACTTGGGAGATGAGATGATATAGAGATGATCCGAACTATTGCAACATAAGCTCTGCAACAAACTGAGACGCGCATCCACCCCGTCTTTGAAGAGCAAGCTCCGCTGTGCGCTGCATCCGCGTTGGCGAGAGTTGCTAGTACGGATCGGCACCAAATGCCACAGTTGATCATGGACACAAATGGCATGTCCTTTTCCACTTGTGGGGGTAGAGCTTCCACGAGGAGGTGTTGTGTTTTAGATTATCATTAACCCTCCAAGGAGGTGTTCTGGAAATTATTCCTAGCAATCGCAGTTGCAGCCCCTCCTCCTACAAGTGACCCCCTTGGAAATACAGCTGTTCAGGTATCAAGGAAGTACGATGAGATCTTCTTCAACTGCTACGCCTATGGCCTATGGCTATGTAGTGCTTCTTCGTCAGGATGCCCCAACATGCCCCAACATGCTTTACTGCGCTACTACGGGACCTTGCACAGCACCAGCCTCGGACAAAACCGAAATTCGGGGGAACAATGGCGGGCCAGGTGGGCTCCGTTGGTCGGCGCGTGAGCTGCGAGGGTGCTGGGTTTTTGGGGGGAAGTCGCTCAACAGGAGAAGAAAGCGATAGTGAGCCCCCCAACAGGTCGAACCAGGACACCCCAGCAAACATGTCTTACCCTTTCCATCTGATGGGACCACCCTACTGCAGAGACGGCAGTCTCAATGAGACTTGGCCGACCTGAAATGCCACGGACTCACTGCCATCAAACCACACTGCCATCGGAGAAGGGGGGCTCCCCGCATGGTCCAGTGAGCGGGGCCCTGGGGGATGTTCACCCTCCAACCCCAGAAAGTGAGGAACTCTAGAAACTGAGGAAAGGAGCACTCGCCAGGGGCCAGAGCATGGTTATACAGAAAGCCAAAACCCAAGCCGGAAATGTCTATATTATCCTATTACCTGTAATAGTGGATGATGATAGTAAACAGGTAATAGGACGGACCCTATGTCTATAGCTCCAGGAGATACTGGGGGAAATGCCCCCCAAGGCTGCTCCATGTGGCTGCTCTTGGACTCAGGTCTCTCGCCAGCGCTGGAAGGATGCCCCTGGGTCTACATCAGTCCACATCCCGAAAAACTTAGCATGAAATGGCCGTTCATCTTTCATGGTAGCGTGTGGCAGAACAAATGAACCCAAGGCGCATTCTTGGTCTAACAAGTCTTTGACCCAAGGGCTTCAATATCTTTTTACAAGCTTCCCGTGCTCAAGCAGGCAGGCACAGCTACAGAATAAATTCTCATCACGTCTGGTAGCTACCAGCGCTTGCCCTCCCCAAAACAACAAAAACAGGCTGGGGTGGCCTGTATTGTCCCCCCAAAAAAACAGCCACAGGGTGTGGATCCATCTCCCCAAAAACCCTTGACTACTTCGATCTGCAAGCAGGAACCACACCACTTCCATGGGTAGAGCGGGAAACAAAAAGTATTCTGGTTTCCTGCCCTTGGAACAGCTCACCTACCAGGCGCGGCCTTTCGGTATCGACTGCGCCGCTGCTCCAGCACGAGAGGCCAGCGAACCGTGTCGCCCCGCTCGACGCGGGCCCCGCGTCAGGCGCAACCAAGTGCACCACGAGTCCAGGGTGCTCCGAGGTGCACAGTACTACACCTATCACTCATGGATGCCTTTGGCAAAGGGACCCAGGTGTGTTTCTTTTTTCTACCACCGTTAGGGGGGAACCGCAGAGTTCCCAGTTGCAACTGGAATAAAGATGATGCCCAGGTATGTGGGGGGGCCAAAATGCTTTTTTCCCTCTCCACCACTGGGGAATCCAGCCCTAAATACGGGGATCTTGCAGGCTGCAGGGACACCCTGGCCATGTTCAACCCATCCCTTCTTACATGTCTCTCCTGAGCAGCAAGATCCATCTCTTGGGGATGGAGACTTGTTGCACACCATCGAGAGCACACAGGTACCAGTCCCGTGTCCCGCGCGACAGACCGCCGCCTGACGACGAGGTTTCCTCGACCGGTCTGAAGGCGCTCAGGCTGCCTGGCAACGACTTCAAAGCGAAACGTCGGATTTCTCACCTCGACCACGCACTCCGTTTCAAGAGGCGGCGGCGGCTCTGTTTTCGCCAAGGCCGCGCTATGTCATGGCTACATTGGCTGAGGAAGTCACAAAGGCCAAAAGGTGTTGCTTAGTCAGTATTTCGTTGATATTGAGGGATGCCTCTTCAAAGCCTATGGGATTTTTTGAGCGGCAAAGCGGCGTAAGTGGAAAACCACGCCTATCATTGACCCTCCAAGATAGGGAAAGGCCTCGGAGGCCTTAAGAAGGCGCCACAGGAAGACGAGCTGGAAACAGACCACACCAAAAACTATAGCTAACCCCAAGAATGAAGCTAAACCAAAGTTGAAGGTGAAGCCTGAAGAGTATCGTCTACCAACTCCCACTTGCAGTTGGAACCCTGAGAAAACACTCCCGTCACTTGCAAGAACCTTCTTGGACCTCTTTCTTCCTGACCAAAAAAAATCTTTAAAAAATCAAACTCGGACTGAGCAACTTCGCTCGGCCGGGGCCACGGCGCATCTGAAAAGAGGAGTTGTGTGTGTGTGCAACCGTCATGCTTTTGTCTTCTCATCTTAACTCCCTACATCATCCACTGTATATCCCTACAGTCCCGTTCAGCAAAGCATTCCTGTTCACACGAGACCAAACAACGAATCCGCCTTTCCCCGAAATGCGCCTTCGAGGGGGCCGGCTTCTCCTCTTCACGAATCAAGTCGATGCCCTCGCCGCTCCAACCGTGGCGTCCGGGCGAAAAGGACACAATGTGCAAAAATTATCTGCGTTGATGTTCTCACCCTGGGCCAACCCAAAAACCTTCAGAACAGGGGAGTGACCAGCGCGATAGTTTAGAAAGCCATATGCCATATGTGTCATTTAGATGCAAGTGAACTACATGTATGTTCTACCATAAGTTATTTGTGTAAATACACATGTTCAGTTTGTTGTTAATATTGTTCTTTGTGATGTTATACATATATATATATATAGTTGTTATAATCGTAATGCTCTTACTCGCGTCACTCTTAGTGAAGACCAGAGGCTAAAAAATTGAAGATGTGGATACAGAATGCAGTGGTTTAGTGAAACAAACTAAGGTGAGGAAATAATGAAAAATGATGACACAAGACATCAGAGTGCTTTTGTAGCTGTTCCACATTCTGGTGGCTATCTGGTGCACCTATGCATCCCACCAGGGCCTCCCGAAGAAAAACAAAAAGTGGGGGTGGATGCTGTCCATGCACCACCCCAACTGTCCTGGTCTTGGACAGTTACCAGCAGCATTAGCATTATTGGGCCGCGTCCAAGGCTTAACACTCCAAAAAAAAGACCTTGTAGCATTGTAGCCAGTGACCTCCCCAGTGCCCTTGTGCCATTTAAGACGTGATGTGCAGGTCCTGCGCAGTCTAATCATCTATACAATCCTTTTGCTTGATCAGTGGGCCCCGTCCCCCTATGAAAAATACACATCCCCCGTCTCTCGGCTCGTGGCCATCGCTGATCCTCGCACTCGGATCGCTAGTCGCATGCTGCTTTCAGGGGTCAACAGCGCCCCCCCACGGCGCATCTTCAGGGTCTCCCCTATCTTCAGGGTCTCCCCTAAGCGGCGCCTGGGCCATCATCGACTCGAAGCTCTCCATGACCGTCGCCAGCTGCTCGGCGGCCGCGCCCAGGAAATCCGTCGGAGTCGCACCGTCCTCCGCCGTCTGCGGAGGCGTGGCAGAGTGGCAGAGGAGGTGCAAATGATCAGAGGTCGGGTGGCTGAAACATGGAGGACCCCAAAAGAACAGGAAGACCCCCATGTGCCACACATGTGCCAGGAAGATCAGTGGGACTGCGATGGTTCCGTTGCCCCACATAGAACGGTGGCTGGTGCCCTCTGGCTTGGCTTTTGTCTTCCCAAGTAAGGGGAGAGAGCTTCATTAATATTCTTCACCCAAAGCTCTGGGCTCAGCCACGAGTGACCTAAGTCTTCTCCTGGCGACCGAGTCTCACTGCAGAGAGCGGAAAAAGGCTTCAAAAGGCTAGTGTCACCCAAGCGAGCCACCAGGGCTCTTGAATATGGCGCGAAAGAGAAAAAGGTCGGTCCCACCGTCCTGTCAATCTCGTCACCGCCGAGAGGCCTCGCCATCTGCCCCCCCCCACCACCCAACTCATGGCGGCACGAACTTTGCGCCACTCACGGGCTCGACAGCTGCAGCGGGAGAATCCCTTCCCACCACCGAGGAAGAAGACTCACCAGAAGCTGAAACTGAAGTCACTGAAGCATGCTTTTGAGTTTGAGGTGCTTGCAATTGAAGGAAGGGATTTACCACAGCAGTTCGAGCTCGAGCTGATGGATCTATGAATGCCTATGGCACCGTGATGGAGGTCTAATGTTTTTCACGTGATGTTCACGTAGCATCCGCTAGTCAGGCTTTGTTGGCGTACAGAGCCAGGGCAGCTCACAGGCACCTTGAAGGACTTCTGGATGGTAC